CTCTGCGGCCCCCCCCCACCCCGCTTCTCTCCTCCTGGTCTTTACGTCACTCTTTCTCCTCCTCCTCTTCCATCAAGGAGCCAGTCTGACTTCGGCCGAGTTCCCCGGAGCACTTGCCTAGACAGTTACAGCTCGCCACAGGTTCAGGGGAGGGGCTTCCTGGCCCCCTCCTCGCCACCGTCCCCCCCAGTCTCCCGCCCCTTCCTCCCCTCCCCGTAGTGACCGATTCCTATCTCTTCCCTCTCCGCAGGCTCAATGAATCGAATGAATGTGAACTTCTTCATCTGTGAAAATCTTTTATTATTTTTTTTCCATTTTGTTCTGTTTGGGGGCTTTTTTGTGTTCTTTTTTTTTTTTTTTTTCCCTCGTTTGTTTGGCGAGAGAGCGATGGCTGCCGTGGGGGGTGCTGGGGGCGCCCTCGCTGTGAGTGGCTTGGAGGTCATGCCCTGGGCGATGCTGGGCTCTCACTCTCTCGTTCATTCTGTGTGTCTCATGCTTTTTTTCTTTCAAAATTGGGATCTTTCATGTTGAGCCAGCCATAGAAGATAGAATTAAATCTCTGCCAAAAAAAAAAAAAAAAAATTTAAATATAAAAAACACAAAAAGCAAACAAAACCTATAAAATTATATATATATATATAAAAATCTTTATCCCTTCCTGAAACTGCCTCTTTCAGGGGAAAGCAATTCATTTTCTTCCTACCACCCTTGGCCCTCTTCGTGTTTTTAAAATAAACTTTTAAAAAGGAAAAAAAGTCACTCTTGCTATTTCTTTTTTTTAGTTAGAGTTGGAACATTCCTTGGACCAGGTGTTGCTATTTCAGGACCCCCCCTTCTCCCCCCTCAGTCGAGCCCCTCGGCCTCTGCTCCTCCTCTTTCCTCCCGCCTCGCTCGGCTCCCCTGCAGCCCCTCCCGCTGCCCCCTCCCCCCCCCCCCTCCCGGGACTGGTCTTGTGTTTCAACTGTTCAAGAGGACATTGAAACTGAAAACAAATTGAGAACAAAACAAAAAATTGTATGGCAGTTTTTACTTTTTATCGCTCGTTTTTAACTTCACAAATAAATGATAACAAAACCTCCCCGTGTCTGCTGGGTGCCGTCTCTTTCTCTCCTCTCTCCCCCTGTAGAGTTTTGAAGCAGATGTTTGTTTGTTCTTTATAGATGTTGTAAAAGCCTGATAATGGTGATTGGAAATTACAAGCTTTGTGTTGTGTTTTTTCTTTCTTTCTTTCTTTCTTTCTTTCTTTTTTTTTTTTTTTAAGAAAAAGAATTATAAGAAAAAATAGTTTTCTGCAGGCGCATTGTGCTTTCCTAACCCCCTCCCCTTTTTTTGGTTAAATAAAGTGCTTTTTGTCTAAAAACTGCGTGCTGGCCGCAGTTGTGTTTGTAGAGGAAACAAGTTGAAGAGGAACCGGGGTTGGCCTCTAAGAGTGGGGTGTGGGCCCCCCGAAGACTGCCCTTCTTGGGTTGCCTTGTGGAAAGGGCAATAGCAGGTTGAGCCCGGTTCCCTCTGGGAACATGGGGAGCAAGGCACCCGGGAGGGTCCCTGGGGACAGGTGTTTCCATGGATGCAGCCCGCCAGCACAGCAAACCCATGGCTGTGCCTCTCGGGAGTCGCCCCCCCCCCCCCGCCTTGATGCGCACCTGGCTGGGTCCTAGTCTGTCGGCATCCCCCCAGGCGGAAACCTGGCCTGTGAAGGGAAATGGCACAGGTTCCAGTGCTTGGTGTGTGGCCGTGGCCTCCCAAGGATGAGGACGCGAGATGGGAGAGTGAGCTGAGGGGCCATCTGAGCTGTCTGGCCCAGGGGTAACCATCTTGAGACCTACTAGAGGGCTGTAGGGTTCCTTTTGGGTGTCTAGTTGGATGCTAACACAGATCCGGTTTCCCATTCAGGATCCAGAGGCCTGGGCCCACAGGCCCCAAGGGCAGCACCACTGGAGCCCTCAACAGCTCGCAGCCCCCCCAAGGCCTCATCCAGATTTGTTAGGAACCTACCCCTGTGGGTGGTGGCCCCCAATCAGCCCACCCTTGTGCTGCCTTGGCCCAGAAAGGGGCTGTCAGTCTGGGGTCTCCTGGGGAGTCAGCTTGGGTTAAAGCCTGGCCTCCTGGCACCAGGTCTCTTAACCTCACAGGCCCTGCACCCCTTCTGAGCCCTGTGTGGCCTCTGGGATGAGGGGAGAGGCAGAGCCCCCAGCCCCTCCCGTCACTGCAGCCTTTCAGTGACAGAGCAGCACTGGGCAAAATGTCTTCTGGAGCTGCTGCTGCCAAGATCTAGAAGAGGGGGAGCAAGAAGTCAGTTCTGAGTAGCAGCAGGGACCCTGTCCTCTAGCCCTCCACGGAGGCGGAAGCAGGTTAGCAGGCCTCTTCACTAAGAGCCCACAAAGGATCGGGAGGTGTGATGCCAGAGCCATGCGAGTGAGAGAAGAGGGAAATGGGTCAGTCAGGAAGGCTGCAACACGGCGTCCCGTGTCACAGCTGGCCACTCGGCCACCCGAGCCCGGTGGAGACCCTGTCCCCTGGAGCAGGCCTCGGGAGGGAGGATGGTGTGGGGAACTGCCTCCTCCAGGCTGCTGCCCTCGCATGCCACCCTCGGCGGTGAGAGCCACCGCCCGTTGCACAGGGCACTTCATTTTAGCCTCCGCAGCACTCCTACCTTCCACCGGAAAGAAAAGCAGAGAAACTGGGTGGGTCAGTTTAATAATTAAAATATCCCCGGGGTGCCTGGGTGGCTCTGTCGGTTGAGCTTCTGGCCTCAGCTCGGGTCACCATCTCACAGTCGGTGAGTTCAAGCCCTGCGTCCGGCTCTGTGCTGACAGTTCGGAGGCTGGAGCCTGCTTCGGGTTCTGTGTCTCCCTCTCTCTCTGCCCCTCCCCTGCTCGTGCTCTCTTTCTCTAAGGTAAATAAACGTTAAAAAAAGAATTAAAATTTCCCTGCTCCCCACCCCCACCCCCCTGCCCCAGGAATATATATGGCTGGATAGGAGTTGAGCCATGGTTAATGTGGTTAACGGGTTGTCATAATCCTAGGTTTTGTAGATACATTCTAAAATATATTTAACGTTGTAGTTTTGGAGACAGTCACTCTGTTTAGACCCAAACGTCATAGCTGGAAGGCCACGGCCTGTGCTTATTACTGCCCAGTGGGAGAAATGAAAGTCCCCAGTGTACACGCTGGGGAAACAGGCCCAGGGAGGTCCAGGATGTGGGGCCATGGCATGACCCCTGCCTTGTTCCCCTGGGGGGTTGGGGGTGAGTGGCAAGCAGGGAGTACCCGCGTTTCGGAGCAGGTTGTTCTGCTGGTAGGAGGTCAAGACTGGCTCGCACAGGGTGTCGTGTGTCTCTAAGCCCTGGCGGAGGGCCGACTCACAGTCACGAACCCGGTGCTCCTTGTGGCCCCAATGCCACACTCTGCAGACCATCACATCCATGGAGCAATCAAACATGATGAGGTCTGGGGCCCGGCCCACCTCGGCACCCACAAAGGGGCTGGATGAGGAAAAGGCAAGGTGCAGTGGCTCCCTGACCACCCCCCCACCCCACCGACCCCGAGATCAGGAGTCTAGGATTCTGCGGGCCCCCCCGGGTGCATCTTGGTTGTTTTAGCTCCAAGTACGTGTTTTACGTGTTCATTTTTTTGGATGGGTAGGACATTGGCAGAGCTCATCAGTAAACAACGCTAACAGGGAAGAGTGAAGACTTGCTTCCTCACCATCCCCAGCCACCCAGTTTCAGCCTCCCAGGAGTTGTTTCTTGTGTCTCAGTCTGGAGTTATTTTAGGCATATACCATACAAGCAAATTGATTCTGATGTCCTTTTTCCTCCTTTTTTGTACAAGTGGTGAAGATACTGATTTGCCTTCAATCCTGTTCGCTCCGTATCACAAGATGACTCCGTGTCGGCACGTTAAGGAAGTTCCTGATTGTTACAGAATTCTGCTCTATGGATGTACCGTTTCTTAGTTCTAGGCTGGTGGATATTTGAATTGAAATATTCCTTCCAAGATGGATTTAAGCAGTCTTCAATTGCCTTCCTTTTGCCCAGATACTTCGCTGGGCAAGGCAGAGTCCCCAGCTCACCACTGCCCATACCACTGCCCTCCCCTCCCTGACTGGTTTCAGGAAGACCTTCCGAGATCTCCATGGCCGCCCACTGTGAGCTCTACCTCCTACTAGTTCCTCCAGAATTTCCTTGTAAAATAGACTCCACTGGTGCATTAAAAACAAAACAAAAACCAGGTGGGACTCATTCCAGGAAAGCAAGGATGGTTCAATACAATTTATTGTATTCACATCGGAGGGAAAAGTCATATGATCATCCTCATAAACACAGAAAGGGCAATTAACAAAGTTCAGCATGCATTCCAGATTCTTTAAGAGGGTAGGAATTGATAAATATCTTCAGCCAGGATCTTAATGGAAACTTGCTTCCGCACTGAATTGGGAACAAAATAAAATTGCCCACTCTTGCTCCTGTGACCTAGTAAGGTATAAGAAGGTTCGCTAAAGCAATGAGATTACGGAAATCAATTTGAGAGACCTGAATAGGAAATAAGGGGGTAAAACAATGTCTGTTTGCAGATGATGTGATTATATTTTCGGAAAACTCAAGAAAATCAACAAACTAGTATAGACTTCAGAGAATTTGACAAAATGACAGGATATAGCATTAACACACAGAAGTCTGTAGCCTACGTGTATACAAAAATCACCAGTTAGAAAAGAAGGCCCCATTTGCAACAGCAACAAGATGAAATATAAAATGCTCAGGCAAGGGGCGCCCGGGGGGGGTTCAGTCAGTTAAGCATCTGACTTCAGCTCAGGTCATGATCTCACGGTCTGTGAGTTCGAGCCCCGCGTCGGGCTCTGTGCTGACAGCTCTGAGCCTGGAGCCTGCTTCCGATTCTGTGTCTCCCTCTCTCTCTGCCACTCACACTCCGTTTCTCTTTCTCTCCCTCAAAAATAAACATTAACTTTAAAAAGTGCTCAGACAAAACTCTTCCAGAAATGTGCAAAGTCTTAAGGACAACCTCTAAGGAAATGTTGGACAAAATACTCCTAAATGATTCAAAGGAGACTTGAACAAGAGGAAGATCTAAATGTGCCTGGATAGGAAGACCACATCATAAAGGAGGTGAGCGTTCTCAAATTAATTTATAATTGCTTTTTTTTTTTAATGTTTATTTATTTTTGAGACAGAGAGAGACAGAGCACGAGTGGGGGAGGGGCAGAGAGAGAGGGAGGCACAGAATCTGAAGCAGGCTCCAGGCTCTGAGCTGTCAGCACGGAGCCCGACACGGGGCTCGAACCCATAAACTGTGAGATCATGACCTGAGCCGAAGTCGGACGCTTAACCAACTGAGCCACCCAGGCGCCCCCACGCTTGAATGTATTTAAAAGATAAACCAGCCACGTCGAAGAGACGCCTAAGCACTCTGTGCCACCGGACAGAAGTTCACGTCAATGCCTGTGAAGCGTGAAGAAATGACATCTGAGTCCCAAACAAGACTCTAGACCCACCACCGATTTACAGGAAATCTAGAGGAGGAGAGGAACGTGGTAAAAAATGCGTTGCAATCAACAAAATCCAGGCCGTGCGACATAAGGAGACCCAAACATGTGCCTTCTTCAGTAAACAATCGCGAGGAAACCAAAGCAGCAGGGATGGAACGAGCACCTACAGATGACCAGGAATGTGACACAGAGTGACCAGCTGCAGTGTCAGCCTTACGTGAATCCTCATTAAAACCAGGGGTAAGAAGAACAAGATTTTGAGGTTGTTCACCGGAAATTTGAATAGTGATCAGCTATTTGATGATATGAAAGATATTAAGATCATGGAAGCATTCAGATTTTACAGACGCCTTCATCTTTTAGAAAATATATACTGAAAGTGGGGCGCCGGGGGGGTGCTCAGTCAGTTGGGCATCCGACTTCGGCTCAAGTCATGATCTCGTGGTTTGTGAGTTCAAGCCCCGCGTCGAGCTCTGTGCTGACAGCTCAGAGCCTGGAGCCTGCTTTGGTCCTGTGTCTCCCTCTCTCTCTGCCCCTCCCCTGCTCATGCTCTGTCTTTCAGAAAGAAAGAGAAAGAAAGAAAGAAAGAAAGAAAGAAAGAAAGAAAGAAAGAAAGAGGAAGGAAGGAAGGAAGGAAGGAAGGAAGGAAGGAAGGAAGGAAGGAAGGAGGAAAGAAAGAAGGAAAGAAAGAAAGAAAGAGAAAGAAAGAAAGAAAGAAAGAAAGAAAGAAAGAAAGAAAGAAAGAAGAGAGGGAGGGAGGGAGGAAGGAAGGAAGAAAGGAAGGAAGGAAGGAATGGAAAATATATACTCAAAGTGGGGCGCCGGGGTGGCTAAGTCGATTAAGCATCCAACTTCGGCTCAGGTCATGATCTCACGGTTCATGAGTTCGAGCCCCGCGTCGGGCTCTGTGCTGACAGCTCAGAGCCTGGAGCCTGCTTGGGATTCTGTGTCTCCCTCTCTCTGTCCCACTACCACCCACCCCCCTCTCTCTCAGAAATAAACATTTTATATATATATGTATATATATATACATACATATATATATATACACATATACATGTGTATATATATATATAGACATATTTACAGATTTTTTTTTTTTAAAAAGCACAAGGTGTATTGAACCTGAATCTGAGTGCGCTGGGAGTTAACTTTGCATATGTAGCACAAATGAGAGACAGAGAGATGAGTTAGATAATACCACGAGGCAGGAAGCCCCTGGAAAAATCCTGAACGTGAGCCGCTCTACAGGATAACGGACCCAGACCAGTCAAAGGCCGGAAGGACTAAGCAAGCCGGGCGGCCTTCCCTCCTCAGATTAGGAGACACCTAGCATGGTGTGGGCCTTGTCCTACTCGCAAATCTCACCAGAGATGAAAGAGACATTCTTCAGACACTGGGGAAACTCAGAGGTGGCCTGGACATCAAATGGTCTCAAGGCATGAATGTTAATCATCTCAGGAGCGGCTGGGTGACAGAGCGCCCATAATGGGATCTGGAATCTGTTTCAGTTTTTTTTTTACTGTTTACTTATTTTTGAGAGAGAGAGAGAGAGAAAGAGAGAGAGAAAGTGCAAGTGGGGGAGGGGCAGAGAAAGCAGGAGACACAGAGTCCGAAGCAGGCTCCAGGCTCTAGGCTCTGAGCTGTCAGCACAGAGCCCGACGTGGGGCTTGAACTCAGGACCCGTGAGATCATGACCTGAGCTGAAGTTGGATGCTTAACCCACTGAGCCACCCAGGTGCGCCTGGGAATCTACTTCAAAGGGCACAGTCAGCAATCGCGACAAGACGTTTTGGCATAGATACAGCAAGTGTGACCGGACCTCGATGATGGTTCGATCCGGCGACGTGGAGATCCCTTAGACGGTTCCAACTATGTACGTGTTTGAAATCTGGCACCACAAAAATACGAAGGACTTCCTTGCTGGCTTTTCCACTCGGGGGGCACGCGTACCCCCAAATGCCACAAAGACCTCTCTTCCTGGTGAGGACGGAGTGCAAGGCTTCACGGGGTCAACTTTCACAGACTGACTGGCCTGGACTTCACTGGCAGCCCTGTTACCTCACACCGCATCCCGCCAGCTGCCTTTTTCTACTTTTTTTGTGTGGGGTCAGGAGAGGGGGAAGGGTTTTTGTGAGGGGGGGCAGGGAGGAGGGCAACGGGTACTTTGGCAAATAGAAAGGGAGCATCACTTGCTCTGGAGGTAAGTGTAAAATCAAATACTTAGCGACGCAAAGAGCCTGGTTGTGATACCAGACGCCCATAGAAGAAGATGTTACCACTAGGAGGACCTGGGTGAAGGGTACAGGGCAATTTCCTGTGAGCCTATAATTTATCAACACATTTAAAAGAAATACATAATTATTTAAAAAATGTCTTCTGGGGCGCCTGGGTGGCTCAGTCGATTAAGCGTCTGACTTCGGCTCAGGTCGTGGTCTCACGGTTCATGAGTTTGAGCCCCACGTTGGGCTCTGTGCTGACAGCTGGGAGCCTGGAGCCTGTTTTGGATTCTGTGTCTCCCCCTCTCTCTGCCCCTCCCCTGCTCACGCTCTGTCTCTCTTCCTCTGTTAAAAATAAATAAACATCAGGGGCGCCTGGGTGGCACAGTCGGTTAAGCGTCCGACTTCAGCCAGGTCACGATCTCGCGGTCCGTGAGTTCGAGCCCCGCGTCAGGCTCTGGGCTGATGGCTCAGAGCCTGGAGCCTGCTTCCGATTCTGTGACTCCCTCTCTCTCTCTGTCCCTCCCCGCTTCATGCTCTGTCTCTCTCTGTCCCAAAAATAAATAAACGTTGAAAAAAAAATTAAAAAATAAATAAATAAATAAATAAATAAATAAACAT